ATATCTGGAGTCATAGCTGATGTCAAACTAACCAACTGTTATTGAAAATCAGTTAAGGGTTAGGAGTTGAGTGCTAACATCCACAAAGTCTCATCATAACGAATGATATCTGGAGTCATAGCTGATGTCAAACTAACCAACTGTTATTGAAAATCAGTTAAGGGTTAGGAGTTGAGTGCTAACATCCACAAAGTTTCAATTCCTACTGCATTTTGCTATCTGTAGCCAGTTGTGGGATGGTAATTACCCTTAATACTGAGACATAACATTAAAGTAGAAATAATAGCGCCCTAGACATTCTACAAGGTAAAACCCTCAACCTCCACCCTTTTATTTACAAAATGATGTTAAACAGAATTAACAACCCTACCTTAATAGTTCCTAAACTCCCAACCGCCACCCTTTTATTTACAAAATGATGTTAAACAGAATTAACAACCCCTACCTTAATAGTTCCTAAACTCCCAACCGCCACCCTTTTATTTACAAAATGATGTTAAACAGAATTAACAACCCTACCTTAATAGTTCCTAAACTCCCAACCGCCACCCTTTTATTTACAAAATGATGTTAAACAGAATTAAAATCCCTATCTTAATAGTTCTTAAACTTCCAACCACCACCCTTTTATTTACAAAATGATGTTAAACAGGATTAAAATCCCTACCTTAATAGTTCTTAAACTTCCAACCACCACCCTTTTATTTACAAAATGATGTTAAGTAGAATTAAAATCCCTACCTTAATAGTTCTTAAACTACCAACCTCCTCCATTTTGTTTCAAAATTTGTTCAAGTATAACCTGGGCGAGCTGAGACAAGCCACTCAGAATAATCCAACCACACGACACCTAGTCTAGTCTAACCACACGACACCTAGTCTAGTCTAACCTCACGAACACCCAGTCTACTCTAACCACATAACACCCAATCTACTCAAACCATACAATACCCAGTCTAGTCTAACCATACAACATTCAGTCTAGTCTAAGCATACGACACCTAATCTAGTCTAACCACACGAACACCCAGTCTAGTCTAACCACACGAACACCCAGTCTAGTCTAACCACACGAACGCCCAGTCTACTCTAACAACACGACATTCAGTTTAGTCTAACCACACGACACCTAATCTAGTCTAACCATACAACACCTAATCTAGTCTAACCA